AGATATCCCCGAATCACTTTAACAAACAGGTCGGAGACTGAGTCTGGCACTCGATTTGTAAGGATACATCTTGATTAATATCGAGACAAATTGCTGCAATATTAGCACTTTTAGGCAGGACCATGAGTATATTCTAAATGTGGCAATTATAAATGAACACAGTGGAGATACCAATTATCAACATTGACCACAAATTAGATCAGCAAAAATATGAATTTTTAAGTATTAAATGTCTTGAGTACAACAATGTCCTTATCCATAAACTTGGTTGTAAATCAAACAAAAGTAGATGTAACTATTTAGTATAAATTTCAGTATAGTACAAATTACAGGATACTGAGTTAATTATTTCTGCACTAAATAAATCCGTATTATTGACTGAGACAGGTTAGTAATTGACTACCAATTAAAGCAATGAAAAAACTATTGGTATTCTTATTTGCACCACTTTTGTTTTCAGTCATTGCAGAAATTTACTGAGACATTACAAATAAAAGTAACAAATCATTGTCATAACTATAATTATATGAACAAATGACATGTTAATTTGTGCAAATTAGTTGACATTTGACTAATGACTAATTCATTTTTCATCGAAAGCAGTAAAAAGGGAAATAGTGAATGTGAACATAAACCACAAATTTACAAGAAATAAGATTGGAAATGCATTTTTTTAAAGGACATCTAAAAAATATAATGTAAATAAAAATTATCTTTAAAATCCTCTGTTCATTTCATCACTATGATCATGAATTACTTTAGAATAAACTTAAGAATTATTTTCTTTGTGTTTTAAATTGAACACACATTTTTGCATACTATGTCACACGAGACCCTGGTTTTACATATGATGTTTATTGTCAACGGAAATGCATCGAGCACAATACTATTCTAATACATACATATGTACAAGAGTTAAGTCAAAACTAAGTAAAATTGGGAACTGACATTTAAACGGACGAGAAAATTGTGAAAGATAGAAGCATTCACTGAGCGAAGCTAAATCACAAAACCGTCGACATACGCAATATTTTCTCCCTATACGCCAACAACTAACCTCTTACACAATAAAAGGTTACAAACGCTTTCTCTCGCACGAATGTCACTGCCAAAACGAAACAGATTTCCAAAAGCCCAGAGAAAAAACACATTGTAGGCGACCGATCAAGACTGATATCAAAGTTCACGAACAAAAACAATCACTTTTCAGTTTATTTAAAACGTGGGCACTAAAACATCTCTCTTATTTCGAAACGAATGCTGTCAACCAACAGGAAAACGGCCCTGTTCAAAGTTCGATGATGCGAATTGAGCGACCTTGTAACGAAAAGCAATTGCTCGTTCTCCAATAGGTTTTTTTCCTCGCGCCATAAATCCTCTGAAAGTGCGCTCACGAGCGCAGCACAAAATCCGCTCCAAAATGTTCTTCAGGAGACGAGCGATCCGAGCAACAAAACAAAACAGCATACAGCCGCCATCGGAATGACGACTCACATCGATTTTCAAACAGCGCGCGACAGACCTGATGACTAGAGGATATTTTACTACCGTAGACGATTTTTTTGTGCCTAGTCCGCGCAGCACGTCATCAGTCGTACATGGCTAGATTGACGTCTTGAATGAAACAGTTTAGTTCAAAATCAGCCGAATCTGAAAATATTAAATTTTGAAGAAACAATGATTTCTTCTAGATATTATAGAAAACTGAATATGCATTGAAAGCAAAATTAAAAATAAAGTTAACTCTAATGTAAAGGAATAATCGAATATCCCGTGACCTCCCATGAGCGTCATGCTGATGAGGGTTGTTTTGTTGGCTGCACTGTTGCGAGAGCTAAGCAAAGCCACTTAAAGGCACCGTGCAACAAAAATGTTTCAAAAATATTCACCAAAAAGTCTCACGCAAACTTTGCCGGCTCCTCGACGAAAGTAAATGAGGACGCCGTTCTGTGTGAACCTGGCGGAAGGCGGGTGGTCTCCAAGTGAGCTGAGAATGGCTTGTTCTCAGCCAATGCCCCCTCTCTCTCGCTCGCTCGCCGGGAAGTGGAGATGACCGCAGGGGTACGTCAACTCACGGCGTTAAAGAGGAGCTACGCACTAAATGCCGACAAAAAGTCCCAAACTAATTCCACCGCGTTACCGCGCAACGGAATACCTCGACTTCAACTTCTCCTCGTTAGAGTTATTATACTTTATTATTTTGGTATTAAGGATTTGTATTTCTATTCACCATTGGAGAATTACTGTTCACTATTCATCCATCAAGAATTCTTCATAATACGCTTATTTTGTGCTCTCACACACCTTCAAAATTAAGAGATAATGCTAATAGCGGATCTCGGGAATTTTCTGGACATTGACCTCGCAATTCACTCTTTCGAGTACAAGATACCGAGGAATTAAAAGGATGCCAATTATAACTGATATATAAATATTAATCAAAAATAAAATAATACTTAAATTCCTTCCGATATATAGATCAAAAACCATCCGCAATGTTCATTAGCTCCTTATTTCAACGGATAGTAATACGATGCAAAGACTGGTTCACGAACGCAAATAAGAACTGTGACAACAGAAGATTAATGCTCATTTTCAGCAAATCGGACGTCACTTGAACTTGACGTCACAATGTGAACCGGATGCATATCACTTTGGGCACCCCTGCAAACAGGGTAACAGCCTACAGTCAGTGAAATGAAAGCGATTTTCTCTTCTTTCCCAAACTGTTAAAAAATCCCGCATCAAAATTACATGCTTCATATTTTATTTCTGCAGCCATTAAAGAGATAGTTTTAAAAAAGGCAATGGAAGAGTTGTTAAAACGGAAAGTTCTTAATGAACGTGAAATGGACATCAAATATTTAGAATTCCCTTTTAATGGAATACTTGAATACGTTCATCTCTTAAATGACAATTCAATTCTGTATTAGATAAGCCTATCCAAGTTTTAATGCAATGCTTGTGTTTTAACTGCCCGGAGTTAACATACAATTAAATGGTGAAATGAGTTCACTAGGCGGTGCAAAATTTAAAAAAGAAAACTTTTGAGAAGTGCATGAATTAGCGAAGGATTGAAAACTTGAAAAAATGAAAAACACAAACTGACTACATTGCAAACACATCATCTTCAAAACATTGGGAATCTTCCCACCATTATTACAAAGAAAAACATGAATATTTTACAAGAATGATTTTCAATTATGTGCTTGAGCACTGAAACCATCTATTCAATACCTTATCAAATATTTTTCATCAATCACCAAAATAGACTTCCAGACTAGCTACACAAAATATATTCACATTTGACGGAGATAACCTCTTATTCATCAAAATGAACCCATCTTGACATTTTAAATTATTATTACATTTCCATGAAACATTTGAAATGAAAAAAATAATTAATAAACATTAAAATACAACCAAAATAACAAAACAATACTAATAGCAAACATACAATAGAAATTAAGAATGAGCATAGTGTTTAATTTCCTCTTTTTTTCAATTAATTCAAAAGCAGTTATTAATTTTCTATCACATATATATAACATGAAATTAGATTAATGAAAGTGGATAAGACACTGTTGTACTCTTTCATTTAAAAAAAATATGATATCAATGCCCAAAAGTTTTGGTTCAGCTACATCATCTCTAGCAATCACTAAACATGTACTAAAAAATTCAAGCTATTAAAATAATTTGTGGAAACAGCAAAATGTTGATCAGTCACCTGTGACACTATATGAATACAATAAAATCAAGAACAATGCCAACAAACTCAATAACTGACCTAAGGTGACAAAAGCCTCCACATTTTACCAACCTACCCCTGTCTTCCCTGCCCAACTTCCCTAAGTTACTGCTTGTAGAAAATCAAGACTCTTTTGGCTTGCAAAATGATGTGAAGCCTATATTTTTTACGGCAATGGTATTATTATATATAGCATTACAAGTAATAATATTAATAATTTAATATAACAGGTATGGTGTAAACAATGGAGATGTTTTTTTGCTACTGTATTGTAGAGATTGACGGTCAATTTCTATTTGCCACCATGTAACAACTAAATAAAAAGATACATTCTGTCATATCTAAGTAATATTTCTTAATACCCCTACCCCCTCAAATCTTCCTTATCTACCCTTAAACTCATCAAATTATACTAAAGAAAGTGATAAAATTGGCATCAAATCATTTTTATTTGGATCACTATTTTTTGAAAATATGTCAATTCTCCAAGGTTGAACATTAAACAGAATTAAAAATATGTATGGCACATTGGACATACATTTTTTACAAACAAAAATTTCAAAACTATTATATAACACTGTTAAGTTGAATTGTTCATGTTTGCAAAATTTTTGCTAAATTGTTGAGTTGTTAATGTTCGCTAATGAAAAGAGAAATTAAAAGGTTTGAAAACAAAATGTAGAACATACTTTTCCAATCTCTCAATAATAAATGCTACTAAATAAAAAAAATTGAATAAATGGAAAGATCCTCTATGTCTCCTAAATTCCACTTTATCAATGTTAACATGAAATTAACAAAGAAATTATTTTTGGAAGGAATTCTCATATCACCCTCTAAAAAGAATGTGAATAAAGAAACTGTTGAAATCTATAGATTTTGCATGAAGCGTGATCTATAAATCATGATAATAGTATGTAGTCAATTTACTAGTGTAAAAATATCTACCATTGTCCTCATAAATATTTGCTGGAACACACGTATTTCTGACATAGTCAAATAATTAAATGACAATAGTGTGAACTACTGTCTTTTGTATAAATATTTTTAGTTGAAACTACATGAATTCATGAGTTTTGAGGGAGCAATTTCATAGCACTAATAGAGTTACTATTCAACAAAGAGTTTTAATGTCTTACAGCAAAAGATCATCACTTGAAGTAAATAAGTAGGTATCAGAAAACAACAACAAAGAAAAAAAATGAAAGCAACAGTTGCAATAAAATTGAGTATGGTATATAGTACTCACGACCAAGGTCAGCAAGAAAGATGTCCTTTAATGCAAGTATTTCTTCCTCTGGGGCAGGATTTGGTGCTCCAAAACTGTCATTCTCTGGCCAAACTTCCCTAGAATGAGAGAAAGAGAGAGAGAAAAATAAATCAAGATTGTCAATCTCTTCACTTCCAGTTCAAGAAAGTACTGCCGAATTCAGAATGCAATGCTACCTACACAAGTTTACACCATAACGCTATTTGTACTCGATATTTGAGAAGTGGCATGGACACGCCACCAAGGGTTTCTTAGCGACGGGCAATTTCCACAGCTTCCCCGACGTAATAAATACCGCTTCACTAACGTGCACGTTTTGCTGAGCTCTCTTTTTGCTTGTTGTGGGTAGAGGAGGGCTTACGGTACGGGTAGCTATTGTGTTGACAATAAAATAAAGTAAAATATATAGTTCGTTTACCGATCCAATTAAGTTTTCTATTACTCGGAAGAGAACATTTCTAGTTTTGAAAGATTGGTAACCACACTTTGTGGTTATTTATCATTCAACAACGAATAGTAAAAGGTGGGGTAGAGATTCTGAAATTATAGAAAACGTGCTCAGTTCATACTTTTCCCCCTACGTCACATACACTTTTTACTCTTTTTTTTATTTTTTATTTTAATACAAAATCAATGAAAATCCACCTTCGTTGTCTCCAAATGTGTGAATAAATGAGGGGGACAGTGCCAAATACGCTCCGCAGCGATCACGTAAGGCACATTGCAGAAGTGTAACGCGGGGTATTGCTCCATTGTTTCCAGAATTAGGAGTATCAATTTTTGTTTCCAAATTCATTCTTATTTTAATTAATAATCACTGGTGAAATCACACAAATATAAACATACGGCAATCACTTATATGGAGTACTGTGAGAGCAATACACATAAGACAAAAATTTTAAAATAATCCAACCGCACTTCATTCCTTGAAATTACTCTTTACATCCTCCATTATTAGAGTAGATTGATTTTTAATGCTTGATTTCGAAAATGAAAATTTATTAGCCAATGCGAAATGTACTACACTAAACTGACGTTTAATCAAGCAAAAGTAATTTACAAATTTGTGGACCGCAGGTTAAAAGTTGATTGCCACGTTTCGCAACTTTAAAGTCAATGCAACTTTTTGTGAGTTCTTAGATTCAATAATTGTCCAAAACGGGCGGCGAACAAAACAGCTTCAAATTCAACGTACCGCTGCACATATCACAGTACTAAAACATCGCAGAGAAATTATTATATGGAATTGCGTAGACAAATTACGATCTTCAATGAGATTACTCAATCCGTAATATTTATTTTTCATTAATGAATATCCATCAGCATTTGGCAACACGAGAAGAATAACGTGATTGTTACCAATAGATCACGCACATGCAGCCATTTCAACCACGCCCTCTGTCCGATGTTTAGTTTGTAGTACGACTACAGACCCCTTGAGCTTTCCCCGTCAAGGAAAAAAATAGTTTTAAAATTGAGAATTCTATTTTCAATAACTAATTATCTACGGCGTCACTACGATTTGTTCAGGGTGGATGTATATAGTATTCAGTCCAGTTGATATTTTCATATTAAGAATTCTTCATTAATGCTGAATTTAAAATTTATTTGTACGAATATGTTGATTTATAGTTATTTACAATTCAATTATTACATAATATTTACTTTAAAACTAAATGTATACTTATAATTAAATTTATATTCAACTGTGACATTTAATGTCTTTAGTTACTCCAGAAAACTAATAATCTTCTTTACGGATTAGGCATATTGTCTGTTCCAGCCTCCTTCCAACTCATTCTGGGACTTCCAATGTTTCTCTTTCCTCTCAGCTTATAATTCAGGGCTTGCACTGGAAGTCTATCTTGCAGCATATTTCCAATATGGGTCACCAATTGCTGTCTGTACTTCTTAATTTTGTCATGTACTGTTTCTTTCCACCACTGTTCCTCTCTTATTTTCTCACTTTTTATTTTGTCTCTTAATGTATAGCTCTTTACTACTCCCAAAAATCTCACTTCTGCTGATTTAATCCCCCTAAAATCTTCATGTTTTTGAATCCAGGTTTCATATCCATACAGTACAACTGGGAGGGCCATAACATAAAGTTCTACTTAAAGTTCACATATTACTAGAAATTTATGGATCTTGCTGGCGATTTCCTATCTCTTCCATATGTAATTTCACACCCTAGGTAGTTCTAAAACCATATTTTGAAGCACAATCTTTGTCCTTAGTGATTTGAAAAAGAATAGTTAGAGTAGAGAGGGTTCGAATGGGGAACATTACAAGGAGAGGAGCGAAGGAGGACGGAGCGGAGCAGGAGGGTGGAGGCGTGGAGGGTAGGGGAGGGCTGGAATTTTTTTCTGAAGTCCTCACAACACCTGCTCCAATTTTCCATTTTTGTGGCTAGAGTTCTGATTTTGTCCCTTGCAACCGCAGTCTCCGTAAGCGAGTAGACATTCGACTATTGTCTTATAGTATAAGGTAACTTTGTGTTATTGTTTTTTTTCGTAGGAAAATCCCATGACAATGGACATAATATAATGTCATAATATCATGTCTGCCTCTGTTTTCTTTAAGATGTTCACAATTACTCTTATTGACTTTTTTACAGGTAGATGAACGTTTGCCATTTTCCATTCTTCGGGAGTTGAATTGTCTTACAAATATTTATTGAATATCTGAGTTACGATATCTATGGTAATTAAAGAAACTTTCCCTGTCATTTATATGTTGTTTCCGTGACTACTACAACATCCAGGGGTAATTTTCTGATTTTTGTGATTTGTAATGTTGAGGAAGTTACAAAGACAATTTAAAATTAGAAAAACACTTAATTTTATTTTACAACGGCTCTCTTTAAGAGCATTTTGGATGAATATGAGTAGGATGTACTAAGTAATTTATTTAGTGACAATTTTCCGATACCGAAGCGAAGCGAAAAAATCTAACAAACTCATTAATTGTATAAGTTAATTGACATGGTTCCAATTAATTAAGATTAGATAAAAATAGATTAGAATTAGCTAGCAATTAGCCAAAAAGAATCATCTAGTAAAAGGTTGAAGGTTACTTCAGACATGCGGCTTCTATCAGGGCGAATGGACGAATCTTTACTTTTCTGATGACACTGGCGATAAAGTTCTCTGTAAACGATTTCACAATACGCACAAAACAATTAAAAAAAAGAAAATTCAAGGTTCGCACAATCCTTTTTAATTTGGACCACACGAGAAATCGCTTTTTTCGTTGCGGCCCACTGCGTTTTAAACATATTCGAATCTCATGCTTCTTAAGATTGCACTCCTCTGCACTAAATCTTCTCGAGTTCTTGAGACGATTGTCTTCCGCGTTTGAGTCACGTGGTGACGCCGCCAGTGATGTCCTCGCAACGAGCAAAATTGTTGATTGACATCTGCCCTTGTTGCCCCCCCCACACACACACTCGAAGAGAACAAGTGAAGGGAATGGTGCAAAATTGCCACTGCAACTGAGCACCGAAAAGCAAATCCGACTTAGTCGTCAGGATTATGAAATCACAAAGTAACGATTTCCTTTAAATTTAATTTTGCCTACAAACTGGTTACCGCTTTGCAGTGCAACAAGGGCGCGTTTGGTACGGCGAGAAAGGGGAAAGGGCAGTAAAGCGCGGTGGCGTAGTATCCCACGAGGCGCAGCTGCAAGCCCAAAGAATATTGGTATGCAGTCGTGGGTTTGTCGCTTACTGAGACGACGAATGATGCTTCGCAACCCGCGCGCACAATCACACGCTCACACACAACAAGAAGCAAACGTTTACACGCAGAGTAGGTTTCGAGCATTGGAACGAAGTGACCACGTTCACACGTTACTCGCTTTTCAATCTAACCGATTTGAATTGTCTCATTCGTCGAGCATTAACACCAATGTTCCTCAGCAATGATTCACTAGTTAAAGTAATTGAAACACATTAAATCCAAAATGCATTGAACTTTTTTTTTCTTTACGTAATAGCAATTAAATTTAAGAACATTCAATTAAAGCCACGTGTAGCACAGGAATAATCAAATTAAGAGTTTATGTTAAACTCTATTCGATTATATCTAGCACCACACAGATAAATAAAAGCCACTCTTCGCCAGTCTGGGAGGCCGAGGTCACTAAGGCTGAAGAGTCTTAGCTGCCGCACGACTAAAGGGTCGCAGTTTCGAATCTCGCCCGGCGCATGGATGTTTGTGTGTGCGTATATCTTTGCCGTTACCCTTAATGTTACTTACAGGGGTCGCCGTATGACAGTTGAATATAGCAGTTGAAAAGCGACCTTAAATAAGAAAAGAAAAAAAATCACTCTTGGCGGCCGATGTCCATTGAGAGAGCAATCGAAAATCGAGTTTTAACTAAAGATGACGTCTATGTATTCCTCTCACAAAAACCTATTTTAATTACGAGCAGAGCTTAATTTCTGGCGGAACACGCCGGAATTGCGTTCCGATACTCCTAGGACAAAACAATTAAGACAAACCAAAAGCAATGAGCAAACACTAAGCGACATAGATTTTAAGTTTATCCAACTTTCGTAAAGACAAGATTAAACACTTTTCCTCAAAGCTGTCCCTATTAAAGAAATACATTTATTAATAAATAACCAATAAAAATTTTACAATACACTTTCAATTATTTTAATATAATATTACTATTATTAAGTTTTATTTTCAAACAGCAAATATATCATTGTTACTTCGTTTTTATTATTAATATTAATAGTTGTGATCAATTATTACATTATAATACGAATATATAACTATTTATGATAATATTTTAATTAATTTGCAGGCGTGGAATATTCTGATTTGAGCCTGGGCCGTTACTGACCCCGAATACAAATAGTATAAAAGTAATACAGTATAAAATAGTATAAAGTATACAGTGTAAGTAACAGATAAACTAGCCGCTTCCTGGGAATGTACTAACAAAATCCAATTGTAATTTTGATGTATATTCAAAAATACTAAAATATAAAAGGGTCATGTTTTTTCCGGGGCTGTCGTTGTTCTTCCCCTGAAGGATCGCGAAATCCAGCGCCGATCTACACGTA